GCAGGAAACGCTTCTGCTTCGAGCGATGTAGAGGTCCGATGATGTCCATCGACCATCTCATGAATGGATAAGGTGATGAAATTGACGAGAGCAACTCGGTGGGTTGATGAATTGTTGGAGCGTGCCGCTGACACTTCTCGCACTTCGCTGTAAATTTCTCACAGTCCTTTACCATCGTGGGCCAGAAGTAGCCGTGCCGTTTAATCTTGATAGCGAGCGACCTTCCGCTGGAATGGTTCCCGCACGCGCCGCTGTGCACCTCGTGCATGATCTTTCTTGCCTCCGGTCCTTCGACGCATGTCATGAGAGGCCCTGAAAATCTCCACTTAAACACCTCGCCATCGACGAGGACATACCGCGCGGCCTGAGCTTTTAGTTTGCGGGCTTCCCATTTGTCGGTTGGCATCTCTCCATCGGCGATATACATTCGGATAGCTCCGAGCCATTCCTTATCGCAGCCGTACTCCGGCTCGGCCGGCGAGGCGTCTTCGTCCATAGGAACGGCTTCGTCGTCCTCTGGTTCTTGTTCAGGAGGATTTATCAGCCGAACTCCTTCCACCTCTTCGATGCTAGGACGTTCGATGAATTCGACTGGGATCGTTCGCCGGAGGTCTGGGTCCGAGGTAAAAGCGAGTGCTGCCAATGCGTCGGCCAAGGTGTTTTCTCCTCGGGGGATACGAGTGAGTTCGAACCCATCGAATTTTTGCACAAACTCTCGGACCACTTTGAGGTAAGCTCCCATTCGTCCGTCTTTCGCCTCGTATTCTCTGTTGAACTGACATGCTACGAGCTGTGAATCGCAAAAGGTTTTTATCTTTCGAACTCCAATTCTCTGCGCTAGTCGTATGCCCGCAATCAGTGCTTCGTATTCCGCTTCGTTGTTCGAGGCGTGAAAGTTCAGGCGAAAAGACTACTCCAATATTTCTCCGGTGGGAGAGGTGAGGCGGATTCCTATTCCCGAGCCGTGTTTAGAAGACGAGCCGTCGACGTGCAGCGTCCACACTTCGTCTAGTGTTGGCTCGTTTGTTGCTTCGACGGGAAGTTCACCTGTGACTTTGCAGACGACCTGTTCTGATACTCGATGTCATATTTGCTTAGCTCTATGGCCCACTTGGCGAGCCGACCGGATTGGCTAGGGCTGTGTAGGATCGAGCGCAGTGGAAGCGTAGCGAGCACAACAATCGAATGTGATTGAAAGTACGGGCGCAGTTTCCAAGCCGAGACTACGACGGCTAGGGCAACCTTCTCGATCTGGGGGTAGCGAGTCTCGGCATCGGTTAATGTCTGGCTGATGTAGAAAATGGGCTTTTGCTCGGATCGTTCTTCTCTGATAAGCACACCGCTTACAGCTGTAGCAGACACTGCGATGTAGAGGAAGAGTGGCTCTCATTCGACTGGTTTTGCTAAGATTGGTGGGCTCGCCAGATAATTCTTCAATTCCTGGAAAGCCGTCTCGCATCGTTCGTCCCACTCAAATCTTTTGTTTCCTCGGAGGGTGTCGTAGAAGGGCAGGCATTTGTCTGTGGAACGGAAAATAAACCTGTTTAGCGCGGCGACTCTTCCTGTGAGCCTCTGCACTTCGCGCTTCGTCCTCGGAGAGGGCATCTCAATTAAAGCTTTGATCTGCTTGGGATTTGCTTCTATGCCTCGGTGAGTTACCAGATAGCCGAGGAATTCTCCCGAGGTGACCGCGAACCTGCACTTTGCCTGGTTTAGTTTCATGTTGTGCTTGTTCAATTGTTCGAAGCATTCCCGTAGATGCGCGACGTGGTCTTCCTCCTTGAGTGATTTGACTAACATGTCGTCGATGTATACTTCCATAGTTTTTCCGAGCTGAGCTGCGAACATTTTATTTACGAGCCGTTGATACGTTGCTCCTGCGTTCTTGAGCCCAAACGGCATGACTTTGTAGCAGTATATCCCGCGATCAGTTATGAATGCCGTTTTTTCTCGATCGTCAGGATGCATTAGGATCTGATTGTAGCCGGAGAACGCGTCCATAAACGTTAACAGTCTATTCCCTGCAGTGGCTTCGACGAGCCGGTCTATGTGTGGCAAGGGAAAGCTGTCTTTTGGGCACGCCTTGTTGAGGTCGGTAAAATCCACACATACTCGCCACTTGCCGTTCTTCTTCTTCACGACCACCGGATTTGCGAGCCAGTCCAGATATTTGGCCTCGGCAATTGATCCTACTTTGAGTAACCTTTCGACTTCGTCGTTAACTGCTTTAGCTCGTTCGGGGCCGGCTTCCTTCTTTTCTGCTTCACTGGTTTAAAGGTTGGATCCACATTCAGCTCGTGACAGGTCACGTCGATGCTTATGCCTGGCATATCTTCTGCTGTCCAGGCGAAAGTGTTGATGTTTTCCTTGAGGAGGGAAAGGAGTTCGCTTTTCAGAGGCTCTTCCAGTTTTGTTCCTATTTCGACGCATCGCTCCGGGCGCGCCTCATCTATACATACCGAGTCCACTGCGTCGCATACTGGCTCGGCGCGTGTTTCGCGGCTCTCCGCGATCTGTAATTGCTATAAGAGTTTCGAGAGCTCGTTCGCGGGCTCTCGGTCTGTCTTCATCTTTTTTCGGTCGATGTCTGCTCGTGCGTCGGTGACGGGGTTCCTTAGCTTATGCTCGGCTAGGCAGCACATTCGCGACTCCTTTTGACTCCCCCAGATCGTTTTAACACCTGCTGGGGTTGGGAATTTGAGGCAGAGATGATAGGTAGAGGGTACCGCCCTCATCCCGTTGATCCACGGAGTTCCCATGATCACATTGTATATTGCTGGGTGATCGGTGACGCAGAATTCGACGATCTTAGTGACTCCACCAGCTACCACAGGAAGCCTGATCGTTCCCATAGTCATCGTCGTGTCTCCTGAAAATCCGGTTAGAAGTTTGGGGATCGCTTCGACCTCGGAGAGGTCAAATCCCATTCTTCTGAGTGTTTCCCTGAAGATGACGTTCACCGAGCTTCTAGTATCGATGAGCACCCTTGCTACGTCATGATCCCTGATTGTTAACTCAATCACCAACGGATCGTTATGAGATCGATCGATTCCTGCCGTTTCCTCCTCGGCAAAGGAGATCACTGTGTTTGGGATGTCGGTTGGTTCTGTCCAATTCTCCTTCGCTTCAGCTCGGCGCTGATAGGCTTTGATGGAGGATACGGTATCTTGGTAGTATTGGGATCCACCCATGATCATATTGATCCTTTGCCTCGGCTCGGATCGCTCTTCAGGTTCGCCTCTCCTGTCACGCTTGGGGTTATCGCCTCGTCGGGGAGGATTCGCGGGTTCCGCCGCGCCGCTCGGCTCATCTCTCTCTTGTTGTTCGTTAGGGACAAGGTCTTTGATGCTAACCGCATTTTGGAGCTCTCTCGCTGCCATCTTTGCTGCGAGCTTTGCTCTTAAAGTTCGGCATTGAGCCGTTGAATGCCCGTAGGTCTGGTGATACTCGCAGAAAGCCTTCTTGTCGTAGTTGGCAGACTTTCTCACCCAAGTGTTGTTGCGCGGCTCTCCTCTTCCGCGTCCGGTGCCTACCTGGTAATTATGGGCGCCTCCGCTTCTAGGTTCATCCGAGCTCTGCGTTGTTGTGTTGCTCGATGGGTTGCCCTTTTTCGCGGGGCGCGGCAAAATTGAGCTTCGGATTGCCGCTTTCGTTGCTTCGTACTGCTCGTCCAAGTTTTTCATTTCCTCTTCGTTTACGACGAAGTCTGATGATCGGTGCAAAGCGTTTTGGATTGTTTGCGGCGTGTTGAGAGCCATCTCCCGTCGAAACTCAGACTTGTACCACAAAGATCGTTTCAGAGCCTCGAGTGCAGCCTTGTCGCTTATCCCTTCTATTTTGGATACGAATGTCTTGAACCTTGCCATGTAATCCCGAAGCGGCTCGTTCGGTCCTTGGGATAGTGTCCACAGGTCGGCATCAGATGTTCCTCTGTCCATAAACATTGAGTATTGTTTAAGGAACAAAGCGGAGAGCTGTTGAAAACTGCCGATAGAATTGCGCTCCTGCCTCGAAAACCATTCGAGCGCGGCTCCCTTGAGATGCTCCAGGAAGAGCAGGCAGTATCCGGCATCTACTTCGCGTTCGGTGAGTTTAGCAGCGTTCTTTGTGAAGCTCGTCCCATCGCTATTCGAAATGCGGTGATGTGTGCTTTTGGGTCGGTTGTTCCTTCGTAGAACGGGATTCTCACCTTCCCCGGCTCGGGAATCCTGGCCTCCTTGATTCTTGCAGTGAACGGGGTTCTTTGAGTTTCTTCAAGCATTCGGTCGATTTCGGGCGCGGCACTTGTCGCGTTGTGCACTTGAGATTTCATGGCGCGTATTTCAGCCACTGTCCGAGCCATAGAGGCTCGCAGCTCTTTGAGCTCGAGAGTTTGTGCGTGAGTCATTCCCTTTGATTGGGGGGGTCGCTCCCGCTCCTCTCGCCTCGGCTCGTCTTCGCGTTCTGCCTGCTCGATCCATTAGAGATTTTGTTCTACCTCGGTTGGGTTATCGCCGCGGGTCGGATCGGAGACTTCGTCAGTCCGGATGCCGTTCAGTGCCGAGGCGAGTTCTTCTTGACTAATTCGGCGAGCCGAGCCAGTTTGTTGCGGATTCATGGTCTCGTCGTTCTGCTGGGCGTCTACGTCGATCGCATCGTTTCCTTCTTCCCTGGCTCGTCGCTTCGAGTTTCGGCGGAGAGGGGGCGGCTCGGTTATGTTGACTCGGGTCGCCGCGGGGGTCTGTTCGTTGAGGAGACGAGACATTGGAGGAGCCGAGGGGTTTCTCGCGCCGCTCCCTGAGGCTTCTACAGGTGTCGAGAAATCGAAGCGTCTCCGGATTCCATCCATCGGGTCGGGAATTCCGGCTCTCCAAGTTGGGTGCAGTCGCTCAGCCGCCATCGCGTCGAGCCTCTCTGTAATCGCCTCGTTTCTTTTATCCTGTTCGTCAATTTTCTTCATCACGCAACCATTATGTTTCGCATCTCCTCCTGGGTTTCGATCGTTTCCGTCGTCGTGCCCGATGCCGGAGCGTCCTTCTCCGCACCGTTGCCGGTGTTGTTGTTGTTGTTGTCGTCGGGGGTGTTGCTCGCCATGTTTTTCGGATCTTAAAGTCTCGTCGATTTAGAGTAAGAAAGTTTCGATTCCCCTCAGACGGCGCCAAATTGTGTGAGCCAAAACTCGCACAACCAAGAATTTGTGAAGAGAAACTAAGGGATCTGAAACTTCTAGGGTAATCGCAAGAACAGTAAGATCAAAAGAGGATTTTTATTGCTGTAAAGTGTTTAGTCCTTATTGCTTAGGGTTGCCAAAGTTGGCGGAATGAATTGCATACATCATATATTTATACTAACTTTCTAAACTGCCTAGCCGAAAATCTCGAGCGAGATTTTCGGAGTATTTCCTTATCGCCTCGTGCGGCTGACCGCCTTTGCATCTCGCCTAGGGTTTTCCATGGACTTCATCTCTCAAGGCTTTGGTTCGGCCCGTCCAAGCATCTTTACGGCTCGGCCCATCTAGCCTTCTTCACGGCTCGGCCCACTTGCCATGGAGACATTATCCAGCCCACCGCACCGATACACGGCTCGGCCCAAAAGTATTGAAGTGGGGCTCGGCCCATTTCTTTCGATGCGGCTCGGTCCACCTGTCTTCTTTCACGGCTCTCCCTACTGGCCTATCTGCACGGCTCTCCCATTTGTCTTGGTGAGAACGGCTCTCCACTTGTCATGGTGAGAACGGCTCTCCCACTTGGTGACCACGGCTCTCCCACTTGGCGACCACGGCTCTCCCACTTGGCGACCACGGCTCTCCCACTTATCTTTCTTCCATACTTAGCTATTTTGAGGTGGTTTATCTACTTAGGGTGAAAACCGACCTCAACAGTTTTCATTTGAGAAAACATGTTATTGACTTATTGTGATCTAAAATTATTATCTCGTTGCAATTTTTTATCAAATACTGGAAGAATTTGGTCTCAATCTGATCCAATTTCGTCTTGAAATTTTGGATTTTGTAGTCCGATAGTAAATTCGTAATAGCCTGGGAATCCGGTTAACCGATCCAAACCGAATCGGGCTGTTTTTCAAATTTTTGGTTCGTTCGGTTCTTAAATCTTACCGTAAACATTACGGTTCGGTTTTTGGTTATTTCGGGTAGTTTAAATTTTTTTGTTTTGTGTGAGATTTGGTTCAAATCGAATATCTTCGGTTATTTTCAGTTAATTTTGTCGTTTATTCGGTTTAAAATTTTAAATATATTTTCATGAATTTTGGTATAATCCAGTATCAGTCGGTTTGGGATTTTTTTTTTTTAAGAAAAACATTTCGCTTCAGCACCGATAACCGATCCCAGTTTTGAAGGCTGCCAAGTGGTTCGGACTTCCAAACCGAAATGAAACCGAAAATTTCAATTCGGGTTGGTTTGGTTCGCTTAGTGTGAACCTTCTTTGTTTTTTTTTCTATTTTTTTCTTTTATTCAATTTCATTTGAGAAGCATGTTTGTTCATCTCCAATTTAGAGAAAAAAAAACAAATCAACATTTATGAACTCATTCTATTAATCCTTGATGCAGGTACAATGTTCCGTATCCAACATTATATGCTATAGAATCAAAAAACAAAGACGCTAAGCTCTTCAACTGCGTTCAGGTTCTTAAAACGAAAACCTTTCTTGTGATTCTGTGTTCTTCTGTGCTCTTCTGAGACAAACTTATTGGGGATTTTGGTTGCAGAGAGGTCATCAAAACTCGCTAGAGATAATGCCAATGTACTTCATACTAATGATCCTTGGTGGAATGAAACACCCTTGCTTCTGTGCTGGTTTGGGTTTGCTTTACAATATCACTCGATTCTTCTACTTTAAAGGTTACTCTACTGGAGATCCAATGAAACGCCTCACCATCGGGTTTGATTTGTTCTTCGTCTTCTTCCGATAGTTGATTTGACATTAAAATTTTTCAACTTGTAGCCTTATCCACTGGCCTTTTTGATCTCTATGTTGCAGCAAATACGGTTTTTTGGGATTGCTTGGTTTGATGATCTGTACCATCTCGTTTGGTGTCAGTCTGATCCGTGGTTGAGTTGAGATAGTCTTTTTGTGAGGTTGATGGTTCTCGGGGGTTGATCGTGGACTTTTGGATCCGGTTCATGTAAAGTGTCCACAAACTTGTGTAATAAAGAGAGTTTGTCACTTCGTTTCTTACTTTTTAAACTTCTAATAAATCATGGTGCTGTGTAGAACGATTAATTTCACATACCTATGCAAAAATCTCAAGCCTCTTCTTTAGGTTTGGACATTTCGGTTTGCTTTAAGTCTCGATCGAATTTAAGGACACTATTGCTGAACATAATAACTGAACACTATTGCCAACAGGCTCAAAAGTATCCTGCCTCAGCTCATTGCGATGAATCAGTCAGCCTTCATTCAGGATCGTCTACTTATTGAGAACCTCCTTTTAGCGACAGAACTTGTGAAGGATTACCATAGAGATACTTCCCCTGCTCGCTGCGCAATCAAAATAGATATCTCGAAAGCTTTTGATTCTGTCCAATGGCCTTTTCTTCTTAATGCCCTACGCGCTATGAACTTCCCTGATGTGTTCATTCACTGGATCTCTCTCTGCATCACTACAGCCTCATTCTCAGTACAAGTTAACGGAGAGCTTGCCGGTTTTTTCCGAAGTAGCAGAGGATTGAGGCAAGGTTGCTCTTTATCTCCATATCTATTTGTTATTAGCATGAATGTGCTTTCAAAACTTCTGGACAGAGAAGCAAGTGCTAAGCGTATTGGCTATCACCCGAAATGTAAAAACCTGGGACTTACCCACCTCAGTTTTGCTGATGACATTATGGTTCTCTCTGATGGTAAAGTGAGATCGGTTGAAGGCATTGTAAAGGTTTTTGATGAGTTTGTGAGGATCTCAGGCCTGAAGATTAGTATGGAGAAGTCTACGATTTATGTCGCAGGGGTTACAGACTCGGTAAGGACTGAACTTGAGGAAAGATTTGAATTTCAGACAGGACACCTTCCTGTACGATATCTGGGTTTGCCACTTCTTACGAAGCAAATGCGGAAACAAGACTATCTGCCTCTACTTGAGAAATGCCGCAAGCAAATTTGCTCATGGACTGTTCGATCTTTGTCTATTGCAGGCCGATTGCAGCTCATTCGATCTGTCTTACATAGTATCACGAATTTTTGGATGGCAGGATTTCGACTTCCAAGTGAATGCCTTAAAGATATCGATAAACTCTGCTCTGCATTTCTTTGGTCAGGCCCAGATTTGAACCCTCGCAGGGCAAAGGTTGCTTGGGAAGAGGTTTGCAAGCTTAAATCTGAAGGAGGTTTGGGTCTTCGGCCTTTGAAAGAGGCAAACAATGTGTGTTGTTTAAAGCTAATATGGCGCATAGTTTCATCTCACCCATCCCTCTGGGTCAAATGGATTCAAATGTATCTTATTCGGAAAGAGTCTTTCTGGTCGATCAGCAACAACACTAGTACAGGATCATGGATGTGGCGTAAAATCCTTAAATATAGATCTCTGGCTAGCTCTTTCTGTAAGGTTGACATTGGAAATGGGGAAAACACGAGCTTCTGGTTTGATATTTGGTCGGGTATGGGACGCATTTTTGATCTGATAGGGGTGAGAGGACCTATAGATCTTGGTATCCCTCTTAACGCTTCTATTGCGTCATTAGCACGAAGACGCCGTCGACGCCACCGAATCGATCTGCTCTCAGAGATTGAAAATGCGTTGGAAAGCAGACTTGCGCAACTCAATTCGGGAACAAAGGATATTTTCTTATGGAAGCACAAAGAGGGATCTTTCAAACCCTCTTTTAGTTCGAAGCAGACCTGGCTTCTCATTCGATCGGCTTCAGCTACAGTTCCATGGCACTCAGGAGTCTGGTTCACGCACTGTACTCCGAAGTTCGTGGTTTTCACATGGCTCGCCATTCTAAATCGTTTATCCACAGGAGATCGGATGCAAAGCTGGAATGTTGGGGCAAACACTTTGTGCTCTCTCTGCAATTCTAGCCTGGAATCTCGGGACCATTTATTTTTCTCTTGCAGCTATTCGGGGGAAATATGGACAAAGCTTACCAAAAATTTGCTCCGGAACAGGTTTACTACAAGCTGGAATGATGTTCTCAGTCTCCTCTCAGACTCGCGGCTCCATCGTATAACTCTGTTCTTGTTTCGCTTCTCTCTTCAAGCTACTGTCCATAGTATCTGGAGATAACGCAACTCTCGCCGGCATGGAGACGACCCGCTTCCGGCAACTAGAATTCTGCATCTCATCGATAAGCTAGTTCGATGCTGAATCCAATCCATTCGCAACATAGGTGATAGAAGATACGAGGGCGCGCTTCAAATGTGGTTTAGTGCCCGAGCTTGATCAAATTTTTTTATCTTTCTTTTAGCTCTCTCTTTTAAACACAAGTCGCACCTCAAGGGGTTGTAAAAAAGTCTTTTTTTGATCATGAATATAATTTTACATTCATTTCAAAAAAAAAAGAAGCTAATTGGTTTGTGACTAGTTTGATTCAATTCCGTTTGGTGTTTGTTCGGTTTTATATTGGTTAAAGAAACCCAAAAAAAAAAAATGAAATCTATATTTTTTTTTTCCACTACCCATCTAGTACAATCACATTTGGCCCATCGTATTAGTGATCCGTGGACCACCATCGGTGAGCTCGTTATGAACGATTTGGGAAAAGATAACGCCTCTTGCTTGAGCTCCTTTCGCAAGACTATCCGCCCGGACATTTAGATCCCTCGGAATATGAGATAAAGTGCACTTTGAGAAGCTCTCTTGAAGGAGGCGGAAGGTATCTAGCTCTGCATTAAAGGACAGCCAATCAGCTGGAACCTCAGTCATACGCACCAGATCCGAACAGTCGGATAGAAAGTGGACCGAAAATATCCGTCTCTCTCTCAAACAGGACATAGCCCAGAGGAGGCAATCCATCTCGGCATGGAGGGCCGAGAGGCTTCTACGGCATCCCTGAAGTCCAAAAAGTTCGAATCCTCCGCCATCCACAAAGTTCCAACCGAGGCCGCTAACCTGTCCGTGATTGATCCACGAGGCGTCAATCCGGCATATTGGGGTTTGCGGTACCTCGGGTATCGCAATGGTGTCCGGTGGAAGGCCTACTTCCTCAACTTGAGTGTCGTCGCTGTCCTCAGGTTGGTTCGCAACTCTCCAACTTTCTGCTTCCACTTTTGCATGTATCCATGTATCCTCCGGGGAAATTTCTTTCCCTTTGAAGATCTTCTTGTTCCTTGCTTTCCAAATAAATCATAGGATCCAAGGATAAATATCCTTTGTAGGATCCGTCATGCCTAGCTCTTTTGTTTTCCAAAAGAGGAAGCTCATATTTTGATAAATAGAAGTACTCGGGAAGACACCCGGAAGGGACGGAAAGTCCGATAACGCCCAGACTTGTAATGCTGGGGGACATAAGAACAGTAGGTGGTTTATGGTTCGGGATCTCCACAGCGGGGACAGCATTTGTCGGAACCTAAATGTCGGTATGTGAGGTTCTGGCATGTCGCCACGCACCCAGATAAAGATTGCCACATAAAGTGTTTCATCTTCCCAGGTGAACGAACTCTCCAAACATGTCGTTGTAAGGCCGTGGTGCTTGGTTCCCTAAACGCTCCAGCTTCTCGTTCAATCTTCGTTCGTCTAATTAGATCATATCTCGACTTGACTGAGTACAGTCCCGATTTGGAATGATTCCAGGCATATCCATCCAAGGTCCGGGTCTGGCTAGGTCTCAGCCTGAGGATAAGGGGAATATCCTCAGGATGGAAAAAATCTCTAAGCAAGGGAACATCCCACTGTTTGGTTTCTCGGCGGATGAAAGAGTATACCAGGATTCCCGGCTCTTGGAATCCGATATGCGGGGCCGGTCTAGGCGGCCGAGCTCTAAGGTCAGGAATCCACGGTTTGCTCCACACTCTCGTATTTAGGCCCGATCCAATTGTCTTCCTCAGTCCCATCCTCAAAAACGGTTTTGCGGCCATTATACTCCTCCACCCATAGGATGGTGAGTAAACGTTCCGGTCTTCCAGAGGGTCGGACCGGTTAAAATATCTGCCTCTTAAGACCCGTGCCAAGAGTGATGAGGGATATTGGATAAGGCGCCATAGCTGTTTTGCTAGAAGGGCTAGGTTAAAGTCTTGTAAGTCTCGGAATCCGAGGCCTCCCATATCCTGAGGGACACAGATCTTATCCCAAGCAATCCAGTGTATTCCGCTACTATTTTGTTTTGAGCTCCACCAGAAATTGGCAATGGCACTCCGCAATTTGTCCGTCACTCCTTGGGGCAATAGAAAACATGACATGACGTACGTAGGGACGGCTTGTGCAACGGATTTGATTTGAATTTCTTTTCCACCTTTGGAGAGAAGTCTTGCAGACCAATTATTGACCCGATTGCTCAGACGGTCATGAACATAGGAGAAGACTTTCTTCTTTGATCCACAGATCTGCTCTGGGAGGCCGAGGTACATCCCCATGCCGCCCTCTGATGATATTCCTATAGCATTCTTGATGCCTTGCTTTAAAAGCGGATCCACTCTATTCCCGAACATAATGGAGGATTTTCCCAAATTAAGTTGTTGTCCCGAGGCCCCTCCATATGTATCAATAATCCTGAAAATCTCGGCTCCCTTCTGAATTTCCGCTCTACAGAAGAAGAGGCTATCATCAGCAAAGAGAATATTGGAAACCGGTGGACTTGCTTGGGCTACTTTCAGCCCAGAAATGCGATTTTCCTCCTCTGCTCCTTTTAGTACCGAGATGAGAGCCTCAGTACAAAGGATAAAGAGGAGGGATAGGGGATCTCCTTGTCGTAATCCTCTGGATGGGATGATCTTTCCTTTCGGTTCTCCATTTATAAGGATTTGATATGAGACCGAGGAGATACAAAACGTTAGGAGTCTGACCCATCTCTCTGAAAATCCTAGCTTGATCATAAGGGCTTCAAGGAAACTCCATTCTACCCGGTCATAAGCTTTGCTCATGTCTGTCTTGATGGCTATGAAGTTTTCTCTACAAACGGAGTTGGT